CAAACCCAACTCATGCTCCTTTTTCTGGGGTTCAGTTCAGCACTAGACATCATTCCATGGTCTGCAGCTAAGTAGATACGGTATATGCTGGTCAAGATCATGCATTCACCTCTGCTAGTTCAACTATCTAGGTTCCTTAAAAATAAAACAATTACTGTGTAGGTGCACACCACAGTATGCAATGCTAGCTGGTTGATGAATGAATTATCCAGTGCATCATGGTTACCAACATAGCTTGCTATTATGTGTGTTTCTACTGAACTTTTCTCGCATGGCCTTACCTTGGCTACCCGCATTTATTTTGTGTTTGAAACTGATGATTTTGATCTATGCTTAGAACCAAATGCGTTGTTTGTTTTGTGAGTGTTGCTTTCTCAATCACTTGCTAGTTTTCCCTGCAGAACTCAAACTTAGTTTGTAATATAATGTAATTTAAGCATCTTCATGAACCAAACAATGAAAAATGGTCTCTGTTGTCTCACGGAGACAAATTCTGGACTGCATGGACCTTCATCGTAGAGCCGTCTAGACCAATTGAATCCAAAGCAGAGTCCTGTGGTGTTTCTTGATTCATATAAACATTGACAAGATAATCTGAGATTACTTGCTTTGATAATTCTTCTCTTTTCTTAAATAAAATTCAGTAGTATATGTGATGATCTGAGATTAATTACAGCTGAAATTTAGTGGTCTAATAATTCTTCAGATACTGAGCCACAAGTGACATAAGAAACATGAAGGTCCATTAATTCTTCTATCAGCATGTTAAATATTTTTTCCCTTCGATGTAATGATCCGCAATCGACAGGACATATGTGGAAAACAACAGTCATGAAAATGGAAACATCGAAAGATTTACGGATCATCACCATCAAACAGTAAAAAAAATCGATGTAATGATCCTCAAGCCGATCGAGGATTTTCTTGTCAGGCACAGCGCCTTTGGAGCGGTGTCTGGCCTTCTGTCTCCTGGTACTCTTGCTTCGACGGCCCGGCTCCTCGTCTTCTCTGTGTACTCTGTTCTCTTCTCTTCTCCTGCAATTCAATTGAACAGACTGAAAATTTCAACCAATGGTGCCTGCTAAGCTCTGCCTCGAAATGAAAAGCATAAACTGCTACTACAAGAATTCAGTTTGAGTAAGGGTGTTCTTTGCTGGTGTGTTGGGAGAAAAGACAGCTTACCTCCCTGTTCGCAGCGTCGCCTCGACTGAGGCCTGCTTGGTGTTTCTCTTCTCCCACGAAGAGGATAGAGGAGGACACCTTCTGAATCATTGGATTTCTGTCACCTATTCTCTACTCCGCAATGCACAGGTTAATCAAAGACAGAACATTAACTGGTCTAGCAATTTCAGTCGCTACCGAACAGGACGGACATCCTTCTTTAGGATATTCACAGAGACTTGGCAAATCTGATCTAGGACACGGACATTCTGTCATAGAATTATCATTGCAGATTCTAACCACATGCACTATAATAGTGCGTCCATTGAACCTATGACATGCAAAGCAACATTAGAGCAGACGACTGCATTGGCTTACTCCGACGAAATATCAGAGCAACAACTTCATCGTCGCGATCCTTCTTGGAGGTGTTGATAGGTGCCGGCGCTTCGGAGTCTTGGAGTCTAGTGGAAGAGCCTGGTGGGCGCTGCGATCGCGAGGCTTCTTCGCTTTTGTTGATCCGCCGTTGTCGGCATTTGTTTCTTTTGCTTTTCTCTATCGTTTCTTTTTGGGCGTGTCTGTGCTGCTTCCGCCCCAGCACCTTTCCTGTATGGTTCGGTTGGTTGCTTTGTATACAAAGCGGGGGGAAACCCTTTTTCGGTAAATGACAGTTACAGTATCTACAGTATCACCTCCACTACCTATTGCAGAGCAACTTAGACAGAAGACAGAAAAGTTTCTGAGTGACATTGAGGAAGCTCCAGTATTTTCACGAGTGATAATAATACATAAACAACATATGGAAATTTCTTCCATCAAACATTAGCACAACAGACTCTGTTTATTACATGAAAATGAAAACAAGAAGTACAACACAGATAATAGTGTTTGCTGAAACGTTGCATGATACGCAGTAAACGATACTACACCGAAGAATAAAATCCAGTAGCACACTACACACCAGAGCATGCTGCTCACACGCACAAACACGCACGCAGAAAGAGTCCAAGTATGCAGAGTACAGATAATTAAACCAAACACACATAAGACTGAAATAATTCGGCTTCAGTGACGAATGAGACTGGAAGAAAATGACCAGGCCTTCCTTCAGCTGCTTCGTTATTCAAGAATGATAAATGCGCCAGGCAAACACCAACCGAAGAGAGTTTCTGGTTGACGGAGAAAAATCGATCATTTGCTCACGGGGGTGAGGCAGCAACAACAGCTCCATCTTCTTGGTGTCCATGGCGTGGGTTGTGCTTAAATTCAGGATCATATGGGTGCTTTCCAAGTGCTCTTCTCACTGGGCCTGGGTTGCAGTCACCATTGAGCTCGAGCTTCTTCAACGACCAAAGGTCGCGTAATCCAGAAATAGACTCCATTTTGGCGAAAGACCACACAATCATCTCAAGCTTGGGAGCCGCTTTAGTGTCAAAGGTAATGTTGGTGATGATGTCGCCATCGACGACCAAAGACTTGAGGCTCTTAAACTCCCGTTCCTTGAATGTCAGCCTGCTTCCGGTGTATGAATTGCGGTGAAGACTGAGACAACGCAGAGCTGCAAGTTTGCCAAGGATGCATATATAGTCTTCTGTCAGATAAGTCCTGCTCAGTGTTAACTTGGTAAGCTGATCAAGCTCTGCAATCCACAAGAGGAGCCCACTTGTGATGCCGCTGATTTTCAGGCTTTGGAGAAGTTTCGGAGGCGAGACTAATGTGACCACCTCCTCTGCACCAAGAGTATCCCCAACTTCGGGTGTTTGGTTGATCTGGATTGACAAGGAGAGGAGGCTACCATGCAATTTCTCAATCTGTTGCAATAGATGACCGAAGCTACCATTCTTACCAGAAAGAATCACACCCAGTTTCCTCAGCTGTAACAGATGACCAACATCAATTGAATCATCAGCATTGTCAGAAACAACACGAGACAATATCTCTAATTTCTTCATTCCTCTGACACCGCTGGGAAGGCGCATAGCCGTAAATGACTCCTGAAACCTATCAAAGTTGTTGCCCTGGCCAGCAAGCATATGCTTTAGCATAGGAAGCATGATTGATTTTGTTGGGAATGACTGTACCGCTGTTTGCCGGATGTCCAACGTCTCTAGCCGCTGCAGCTTCTCGATTTGCTTAGGCAGTTCAGTGATATCTGTGTTCCTGAGGCTCAAGTACTTGAGCAGTATTATTTTACAGATGCTCTTCAAATGTTGCTTCTTTAAGCCTCTGCAACCTTCTAGATCCAGCATCTTCATTAGCTGCCACTGAGATGACTTTGCCAAATACGGAAGAAATGGTACAATGCCACTGCCAGCAGCTGCTTGCACGGAATGATCCACGTGAGATGCTTGCACCCTAGTTCTGCTGTGAATTGGAAGGTGGCGAGTCAGATCGGACGGAAGAACCGTGTCCACAAAGTTTAGATCTTTACCAATCCTGCTGATGGATTCATGAACAATAGGATGTAATGTGAAGGTCTTGATCTTGCCCATGTCACTTATCTCCACAGGTTGAATGAAACCCGGCAAGAAGAGCACATCGAAGCAGCAATAAGCCTCGTAGTCTGCATGATTCTCCCTTGATGTTATCAGTCCTTCGGTTATCCATCTTCTACACACAGTTGTTCTCCTAATGCGGTCACCTTTTGGGAAGATACTTAGGTACAGCAAGCATCTCCTATACTTGCTAGGTAGTTTATTATAGGAAAGCCTTAACATATGCTTTCCCAAATTTTTGTTCGACTTCTGACAATCACGTAAGGTTGCTATAATATTCTCTAGCTGTGGAACACTCCTTAAAGGGTAAACATACAAAAGATGTTGGATCATATTCATTGCAAAGCGGTCATGTCGACATAATGCTGCAACGGTTGACACATAACTTTCGCTTACATATGAATGAATGATCTCACCAAAAAGCATCATGGTTTTATCACGCCAATAATCTAATAGACCTTGTGGTTTGACGATTTCATAAGGGGACTCGCGTACTAAGTCATAAGAATATGTGGTAATGACTATAGTGCTGCCAGGAGAGCCATGAGCAGTAGCACGTAATACAGCAGACCTTAGGCTATTCCAATTATCCGTGGAATTGACACCTTGCAGAATGATCAAGAATCGTTTACCTTTGAGATACCCCTCAAGTTTCTTGGTGAGTTGCATCGCCTCATCCTTCTCGTTATCACCCGGTGAGGTTTCCGTACTCTTCTCTGCTTCCAGTTGGTCCAGTATTTCCCCCAGTATTACAGCCAAAGATTTGAAGTCCCCATTTGTGTACACATTGACCAAGGCTTTGCAACTAAATGATCCCATTTTCTGCTCATACAGTCCCTCAGTAATACTAGAATGTAAGAAATTACTTTTGTCTGCCAAATCATGTTGGCTGAACATCATAAGGAATATCCTCGGCTTCGATTCCCCACTTGTCAGCTCTTCAACCGGTTCTTCCTCAGGCAATACAAACTTGATGTTATCATCGATGATTTTCTGTAGGTAAGCCTCTTCATCCTCTGGATAATAAACAAGATGAAAGCGTCTCCAAGCATCATTCTCCTCTTCTTCCTGCCCCTGGTGCTTGTATGCATCGTCCATAAATATCGCATCATATTGGTCAGCAGCTGGTGGCACGGTGACACCGTACCTCAGTTTCCTGTCGCCCACGTCGCGAGCCCTGACCTTGAGCTCCTGGATCCTAGTTGCAATCCGGTGCCTCTCCGGGATGGTGCGTACATAGCGGACAATGTGTCGCAAGTAGCCCAAGAAGCCACCACCATGGTGGCCAGCGCCTGTAACGTTGTGGATGTAGAGCTCGACGTTGCCCTCACAGTCGCGAGTGAGGCCAACAACTTGCTTCATCCAAGCACGAACATGGTGGTCGCGGTGGTCAGCCTCGGTAAGGTGGAGGAGCAGGCCATTCATGCTCCCCATCTCATCCTTGATGAACTGCACGTCGCCGTGGAGGGCGCCGAGCAGCCGCGCCTCATCGGCTAGGATGGTGGTGAGGCGGCCCAGAAGCGAGTCGAGGGCGCCCTGGGCATCCATCTTGCTTGACTTGGAGGAGGGTGATGTGCACTGCACATCAATGGATTGGAAGCGAATGGAAATGAGATGTTGTATGGAAGAAGGTGTAGCCGGGACCTTGAAGGCACCAATCAAAGGTGACTACTTTGAGCATCCGCTTCTTTCCTTATGCTGCGATGGTAGGGCATCAAGCAAAGGTGACACGTTTGAGCATGAGCTTGTTCCTTTATGCTGCGAGGTCCGGTGTGCCGTATGGAAGACACTAGGAATGACAATTTATACATGAAAGGCATATGATTCTCCTCAATGCCGTAGGAATGGTGGATCAAAGGAATGAAGATCACATGAATAGCCACACGAGTTTCACTCAAAAGGAATACCACTCAAAAAGGAAGAAGGAAATTGGGATTTCACAGGATTACATGGAGAAAGAACATCCACTAGTACCCCATTCACTAGTGGAAAAACGGCTAGCCACAACTTTCGTTTGTGGCGCGTCGTTTTTCATTGACGCCAGCACTATTATAGATGTGTTGGCAGCCCCTTGTTCTCAAATACATTCACTTTCATTCTCCATAAAATTCTACTCCCTCTTAGTCAGCTGCTTTGGTGACAATGGACCCACCGGAGCTTGTCGTATCGACACGAGCCCCCCGTGCGAGCCCACATCGGCGGGGCGTGTCGCAAGTTTGGGACTCCGCTGCCTTGGCCGAGCTCTCATCTGGCCCCGTTGGCCACGACATGCGCTCACCACGGCCAATGCAGCCAGCCCTGTCTGGCGAATCATCCCGTTGCAGCACGACGTCCCTTCGAGCCGGCAGCTATGCCACCGGCGAAGCTGCCAGGAATCGAGCGAGGGCACCTATGCTCTTTTGCGGCTGTGGACGCCTTGCTGATAAGCATATGTCGCACACACAAAGTAATTCAGAGCGAGAGTTCTACATCTGCAGTAACCGTGGAAATGTAATATGACAGAAAATACCCCGATCTTGATTTAGGGAAAGGTTGCATACAATAGTCTCAAAGTGGTTGGGCCCTTCCCCAGATACTGCCACAAATGGGAGCTGTGTGCACCGGGCTGCCAAAATTTAGCACAAGAAACCCCACGTTTTATTACGCAGCAAACAAAACAAATACAACACAAATAATATTGTCTGCTCAAACGTTGCATTACATGCAGTAAACAAGACAGTACCACACTACAGACCAGAGCATGCAGCTCACACGCACACAGGCACGCGCACAAATAATCCAAGTATGCAGAATACAAATAACTAAACCAAACACACAGAAGACTGAAATAATTTGGCTTCAATGATGAATGAGACCGGAAGAACTGAAATAATCCAAGTATGCAGAGTACATGCAGTAAACAATGATGAATGAGACTTGGCCTTCCTTCAACTGCTTCTTTACTGAAGGTCGATAGATGAGTCAGGCAAACGCTGACCATTTGCTCATTGAGGTGAGGCAGCAACCACAGCTCTATCTTCTTGTTGCCCCTGGTGTGGCTTGTGCTTGAAATCAGGAAGGTTGGGGTGCTTTTCAAGTGCTAGTCTCACTGGATCTGGGTCGCAGTCACCATTGAGCTCGACATTCTTCAATTTGGGAAGGCGGAGGAGTCCATGAATAGACTCCATTTTGGCAAAGGACCACACAATCCTCTCCAGCTTGGGAGCGGCTCCAGTGTCAAAGATAATGTCGGTGATGGTACCATCATCAACGACCAAAGACTTGAGGATCTTGAACTCTTCTTGCTTGAATGTGAGCCTGCTTCCGGCGTATGAACTGCGGCGAAGCCTGAGGCAGCGCAGAGCTGCAAGCTTGCCGAGGATGCATATATCATCTTCCCCTAGGTAAGTCTTGCTCAGTGTTATCTTGGTAAGTTGATCGAGCTCTGCAATCCAGAGTAGAAACCCACTTGTGATGCCGCTAATGTTTAGGCTTTGAAGAAGGTGTGGAGGGGAGGCTAATGTGATCACCTCCTCTGAACTAAGAGTATCCTCAGTTTGAGAAACCGGTTCGTTGATCTGAATAGACAAGGAGCGAAGGCAACCATGTAATTTTTCAATCTGTTGAAATAGATAACTCAGGCCACCTTTCTTACCCTGGAGAATCACACCCAGTTTCCTCAGCTGTAATAGATGACCAACACCAGTTAAATCATTAACACTGTGGGAAACTTCAACATGTGACAGTGTCTCCAACTGATTCATTCTTTTGATGCTGCTGGGAAGGCGCACGGCCGTAAACGAATCCTGAGACCTATCAGTGATGTTGCTTGGAGACTCAGCCTGACCAGCGAGTAGATGCTTCAGCATTGGAAGCATGACTGATTTTGTGGCGAAGGCCCGTACCGTTGTTTGTCGAATGTCCAAGGTCTCCAGGCATTGCAGCTTCTCGATTTTCTTCGGTAGTTCAGTGATATCTGTGTTCCTGAGGCTTAAGTACTTTAGCAATATTATTTTACAGATGATCTTCAAATGTTGCTTCTTTAAGCCTCTGCAACCTTCTAGATCCAACATCTTCATTAGCTTCCACTGAGATGACTTTGCCAAATATGGAAGAAGTGCTACAACGCCAACACCATCAGCTGCTTGCAACGCATGATCTGTGTGAGATGCTTGCACCTCAGTTCTGCTGTGAATGGAAAGGTGGCGAGCCAAATCGGGTGGTAGGTCCGTGTCCGCAAAGTTTATATCTCTAGCAATCCTGGTGATGACTTGATGAACAACATGATGTAATGTGCAGGTCTTGGTCTTGCCCATGTCACCGATCTCCCCAGGTTGAATGAGACTCCTCGAGAGGAGGGCATTGAAACATGAATCAGCTTCATCTTCTGCATGATTCTCCCTGGATGTTATCAGGCCTTCAGCTATCCATCTTCTACACACGGTTGATCTCCTAATGTGGTCACCTTGCGGGAAGATAGTTAGGTAGAGCAAGCAGCTCCTGTACTTGGCAGGCAAGTCATTGTAGGAGAACTTCACCATTTGCTTTGCCAAACTTTTACCCAAGAGCTCACAACCCTGGAAGGTTGCTAGGAAGTTGTCTATCTGTGTTGTACCCCTTGCACCGTTAACATACATAAGATGTTGGAACATCTTCATTGCAAAGACATCGGACTGACATAAATATAAAATTTGTCTTATTCCGTATCCAGAACTGCCAGAACAAAGCTCCTTGGTATTATTGCAAAAAGCACTAAATAGAGTTTGTAGTTTCAATTTATTTTAAGGGGACTCGATGAAAAAATCTTCAGAATATCTTGTAAAGACTATAGCACTATCAGGAGAACCGTGAGCAGTAGCATGTAACAGACCAGGGCCTATGCTTTCCCAGTCATACTTATCATCGATACCTCGAACAATGATTAAGAACCGTTTACCTTTGAGATACCCCTCAAGTTTCTTCATGAGTTGCATGGTCTCATCCTCCACATCAATACTGGGTGATATTTCCGAACTCTTCTCCAGTTCCACCTTGAGCATGTCTTGTTCAGCTGGAAGGGGTGCCACTTGGTGCAGTATTTCCCGCAGTACTTGGACTTCAGAGAAGCACTGCTTGCCGTAGTGGACCAAGGCTTTGCAACTAAATGAGCACATTTTCCGCTTATACAGTTTCTTTGTAATCATATCCATATCAAGGTAATCATACCTCGGTGGGATTATAAGAAATATCCTCGGGTGTGAGTCCCCGTTTGCCGGATCTTGGACAAGTTCTTCCTCAGCTAGCAAAGACTTGATGATATCATCAATGATTTTCTCAACATAAGCCACTTCGTCTGGACAATTGATAAGAAGAGAGTGTCTCTGAGCATCTTCATCTTCATCTTTTGATCCATGGGGTACGTCGCCCATGAATATCGGGTCAGCTTGGTCAGCAGCCGGTGGCACGGTGACACCATACCGCAGCTTCCTGTTACCTACATCACGCGCCCTGACCTTGAGCTCCCGAATCCTCGTTGCGATCCGGTGCCTCTCCGGGATGGTGCGCACATAGCGGACGATGTGCCGCAAGTAGCCCAGGAAGCCACTAGCATGGTGGCCAGCGTCTGTAACGCTGTGGATGTAGAGCTCGACGTTGCCCTCGCAGTCGCGGGTGAGGTCGACGACTTGCTTCATCCAAGCGCGCACCTGGTGGTCACGGTGGTGCACCTCGATGAGGTGGAGGAGCAGGCCGTTCATGCTTTCCATCTCATCCTTGATGAACTCCACATCGCCATGGAGGCCGCCGAGCAGCTGCGCCTCGTCAACAAGGATGGCGGTGAGGCGGCCAAGGAGCGAGTCGAGAGCGCCCTGGGCATCCATCTTGCTTGATTTGGAGAAGGTGGTGCAGTTTACATCGATGAAAACGAATGAAAATGAGAAGTTATGTGGAGGGTGTGGGAATTGGGACCTGCAAGGCATCAACGAAAGGTGAGAGACAGCTTTGAGGATGTGGTTCTTTTCTTATGTTGCCCCGCTAAGGCATCAAGCAAAGGCGACAAGTTGGAGGATGTGCTTCTTTCCTTATCCTTATGGTCCGAGGATCGATGGACGATTTCCACACGAAAGACGTATAGGATTCTTCTCAGTTTCGTAGGAATGGCGGCACCGAAAACAAGCACGCCTTGATCGTAGGAATGGCCACATGAGTGTCACAGGACAGGAAAGAAAGCCCCTTCCTTTGGTTTCACAGGATTCTACTCCCTCTGTTCCTAAGTATGTCTTTTTAGACATTTCAAATGGATTACAATATACGGATGTATGTAGACTGTATGTAGACATATTTTAGAGTATAGAATCATTCATTTTGCTCTGTATGTATGTAGTCATTTGTTGGAATCTCTAACAACAAGATATGGAACTCGTACCCTATTTCTTCACTCACAAGGTTGTAAGACGATTTCTGCATGAAAGACATAGGATTCTCAATCTCAAAGGAATGGTAGCACGTGAATTTCAGTGGGTAGCTAGGTCCCTTTCCCTTTGGCTTCACCGGATAATAGGATTCTTCTACTGAGAAAGAAATGAACATCA